ATAAGAGACAGGCTTAACCCACCCCCTCCACCCCAAGAAAATATATCCTATAGCCACCACCACAGGTTTCAACATGACCACTTTTTGACAGACAACACGTTAATTGATTAGGTTTTGAATAGGAAATAAGGCTAAATTCCAGCTGTATGTTTAGACTCAACCTACTCCCTCTTGACATCACTCAGGAACCTGGGGTGAACGGTTAATGAAAATTTAATTATTTTCTTCTCTTTAGTTTAAAATTGATAATGATCGATTAAGAAGCTAAGATCCATTTCTTCTTCAGTTGAAATTCAGTGTCAGCACTTAGCTTTTATCCAAATCAAATAGGTCAAACTACCTACAGTGAGCTACTGTAGAAAATCAGGCTAAAGCTTCCCTTATACACTTGCCTACGACTTCATTCCTTCAGTAAATTGCCTCAACCATAGAGAAAGAAACTTTTAACTGACAAGAAACAACCATGTGCCTTTATCTGCAGTATATTTATTTCTGATATTTCTAGTATGCAACATTATATTCTATAAATAAATATATGTTAAATACAGGTATTGATTGAAAGTGTACCATAATATTGTATTAGCAATATTATCTTTTGTTCATAGGTCTAATCTTAGATTTTTGTCAATGTAAAAAGGCAAAATGCTAAAATAACAACGATGCTGTGAGTAACAATCTTTCTCTTGAATGAACCTGCCTGGTTTTAATTCAAAGTGTTTTATTGTTTGCTTCACCATAGCCCTGATGGTAGTTTAAAATATTATTAAATTACTATTGTATTACATTACTACTACTACAGAACATCGTTAAAATTGGTCTACAGAATGTAAAAATAGCAAATTTTTCCCCTGGCCTCCTGCCCCTGCACCCTGACCGGGGCCCTTTGCTTGCAACCTCACCACTTCATATCTCTTGGCTACGGCCCTGAGGTACCTGGTAGGCTCAAAATCGAATGCCAATGCGCTGCTCACTAGCAGCATTATACCGGAATCCCCCAGAGAGCTGAGTTTATGTTCTATAGGTGTTTAATCCAATGACATGGGTAATAATATGGTAATGGTGAAGGGCTCAGAGGATTTGTTGGCATGATGTGTTGCATAAAATCTGGCATATCATAATTACATGCAAAGTTCATAGGAACATTCCATTACTTTTAGCCATTATTCTATTATATCCATTGAATTCATAAATATTCAGTATTTGTGAACTATGAGACAAGAATGATTGCTTTCTCAGGAAAAGGAAATTGAGATTATTGAAGAATGTACTACAAGAATTTAGATGATTGCTTCCTGTAAAAATTCAAGTAGGGAATATAATCAGTTTCTATAAATGAGATGAGTACATCCTGCAAATCAGAAAAATCAAGATGTTTTCAAAAGATTAGAGATAAATGCAGAATAATCAAATAAATAATACACTAGATTCTCTTCGTTTTACGACCTTTAAAACGATAGATCAAGATAGTCAACGATCTGTCACAAATGGAAATGAGACCAGTTTTACAAAGTACTTGCGCTTTTACTCTCACAAACAGTTTGACAATGAATACAATCACAACATCCCAGACGGTGTTTTTCAATTTCAATTTTTTCAATTTAACATTTATTTACTTCCTTTTAGAATCAGACAAATATATTACAATTGATTTAAAATAAATTGAAAATGCAGGAGAGGAAGAAGGCAAGAACCCGAGAAGATAAGAAAAACCAATCTTGTGGAGGGACAGCCTGAAATAAGAGGGAAAAAATGAGATTAACAAAAGAGACAAAAAGACAAAACAGGACAGAAAGGGACAAAAAACAATACATTCAAAACAAGTCGAAGACAGACCGACAGTGAGTTTAAGAAAATTGAGATTAGAAAATAAAGAAGAAGAATGAGACCATGTTAGAATGCCAGATATAATCCTGATAGCCTTCTTTTGAATGATTTGAAGTTTGCTTTTAAAGTTGGATGAGTAGGTGTTTCCCCAAACAATGTTGCAGTAGCTCAGATAGGGGAGAATGAGAGAGCAATAAAGAATACGAAGAACATTGCGGGGAACAAAAGAGGATAACCTTAAAATCTGTCTCTTATACACATCTAGATGTATACCAAGGCTTTTGGATACTTTATTTTCAATTTGGGAGATTTGTTTTTTCCAATTTAATGCACTGTCAAGATAAACTCCTAGGAACTTGGCAAAATCGGTATTGGGAATTTTGTGATTATCAATATAGATTTTGAAATTCGAAGGATCGAAAGTTTGTGATTTTTGGGGACTTCGAAACAGAATGAAGCTACACTTCTCGTGATTAATTGAAAGTTTGTTGGCAGCAAAGTATTGGGAAGTGGAAATTAAATTAGAGTTAACAATGTTGAATAAAGAATGGATATTTTTGTTAGAATATAGGATAGTGGTGTCATCAGCATAAAGAAAAAAAGAAAGAAGGTTGGAAGAAGACAAGTGAACATCATTAATATATAAAAGGAACAGAAGAGGGCCCAATAGGGATCCCTGGGGAACACCACAAGTAATCTGGCGAAAGTTGGAGATAGTGTTGAGATATTTAGTGCATTGTGAATGATTAGAGAGGTAACTTCGAAAAAGATTAAAAAAAGTTTAAAGCCTGTGGCAGCATCCATGGGGTTTTAGGAGGCAATCCCCTATCCCCAACCCATTTCCCCATCCTGCCAAATAGGCCCATAATCTAATACAGCTAACTGAAATTCCTCAGCACTGTAAATTTAAATACTGTATAAGTTGTTATTTATGAGAGGGTTTAATTTTCGCGAATTTCAAGAGGTACTGTAAACAACAAACCGAATGAAAGGGGAAACCCCGTTATAGGTCGGAAATCTCGGGTAGCACAGCTGTAGCGCGTGATGGATTACGCCGCGCCGCATTTAGCACGTTCAGCACAGGTGTAGTTTGAGACCTGGAAAAAACAATTACTTTTGCCTAAAAAAATAACTACTAAGCCCTACTCTAGTAGAGACAGTAATACTATGCCCTACTACTACTTGTACAGTGCCTAGACTTTGCCAACTTAAAAAAGGCAGCCTACGCATCGTTTTTAAGCCTTCCGTACAACAAAAAAGATTGTGATCGTAGCTACAGTACATTAGGCCTAAAATGAAACATTTTGTTAAAATGGCGTCCGCGAAAATACCAACACGCGAAAATGTCAAGAAAGTTGGAAATCGCAAAAAATTCTGTACGCGAAAATAACAACATATACAGTAAGGCAGCTGATTTGCAACAACTCGTTGACACATGACAGAAAGAAATGGAGAATTCTTGGTAGGATTAAGGGCAGCTGAGATGAAAAATTAAACAATGAACCACTCAATGAGGAGGCTAAAACAATAATCAAAATAATCATATTTCTTATACAATACAACAAAACACTTGGAATGATGAAAAACAAAAAAAAATTGCATTATTTATAAAGGATAATAAACAAAGATCTATCCAACTTAAAATCATCAAACTATAGAAAAATATAGAGAATTAATCTAAAATATAGTACCTTTTTTAATCTTTCCTGATTTCTTTGTTGCTGATTTTACCGAGCTCTGTCCAAATTTCTTCTTTTTACGGAAAATATGAACCCAGCTTTCGGGGATGGGCATGTAGATCATAATGTCACAGCAAACATTATGATTAGCCAACATTCTGTCATGGCTCCCTGAAATATATATGAAAAAAATGATTTGCTTGAGCTGTTTGACAACCAGGAATGGATAGGATGTCATAGGGCACCATGGTGTTACAGAAGTTACTTTACAAATGGTACCCTGTGAGCAAGGATGGATAGGGGCTTAAGTCTGTTCCTGTTTCAAATGCATTACATTATGGCCCCCTTACTAGAAATTTGTCATTAAATCCCATTGGTTTCCACTGGAAAATGTAAGATGCCCTGTCACATACAACTTAGTCTCAACTTCCACCACCCTTCCCGAATGTATATCCTGGGCCACTACATTGCTTATGTGCCCATCGATCTGTTATGCAACTAAGGCTATGTTCACACACACGGCGTAAGGATGGCGTGGCTTACGCCAGGCGTAAGCTAATCCACAGATTAAAATTCCAAAGTGTTCACACAAACGGCGTTCGTTAAACTAGCAGTAATATAGGCCTATGTGGAGTGGAATAGTTTTCAGTTTTAAATAATGTACGGTACGTGTTAACAGTAGTAAAATTAACAGTGCATCATGAAAACTTTTAAATCTGTGAATTGTTCGAAGTGAACTTATATGATTATTGTATTTTAAATGAACAATTTTACTTTTGATAGAGAGCACCGAAAAGAGACCAAAGTAGCTAATATATTGCAATCGTGATTGGTCAATCTCTTGAAATGAGGTCAAATCATTCAAGCATCACTGGCGTTAGCTCAGTGGCGTTAGCTAATCTGGGGTCTGCAGGTAGCGTTAATAACGCCAAGCACGTGGCGTAGTGAGTGGCTTTAACAACGCCACTGCCTAGTTCACACGCAAAGGCGTACGCTACGCCAGGCTTAAGCCAGCCTTACGCCGTGTGTGTGAACATAGCCTATGTGTAGGATTAAATCCAACCTGTAGAATCAATGGTGGTTTGGTGGTCTGTAAAGCTAATGTTTAATTTAATTGGTATGAATCCTTTCCAATTCAACCTGAACATGTTTACAATGTATTAATAATAGTTAATTATAATGATACACTGGATAAGAACATCGGTATTATATTGAATTCTCTTTTGTGTACATTTAATTACAGTGGTTAAAAATTTACAATACCAGTACTGTTTGTATTTTATCTCACTTATTGTGATGGTGGTTAGGAATTGACCTTTTAAAATAGGGAAATTGAATAGAATTTACTCAAGATCTAAATCAAGAACATCAGTTAAATAATCATTTTTCTCCATGATCAGTATGCATGCTACAGTGTTACAATTTGACCTTTTAAAACAGTATTGTATTTAAAGTCATTTGTGCACATTTCGGTATTGATGTACATATAGTAATTAAGGTTGACATTTTAAAACATCAGTATTATATAAATTGAAGACATATTTCAGAAAATTTCCAATACTGGTGGTAATAATAAATGTGTATTAATGATCACATGATAACATCTAGATGTGTATAAGAGACAGACAACATATACAGTAAGGCAGCTGATTTGCAACAACTCGTTGACACATGACAGAAAGAAATGGAGAATTCTTGGTAGGATTAAGGGCAGCTGAGATGAAAAATTAAACAATGAACCACTCAATGAGGAGGCTAAAACAATAATCAAAATAATCATATTTCTTATACAATACAACAAAACACTTGGAATGATGAAAAACAAAAAAAAAAATGCATTATTTATAAAAAGGATAATAGACAAAGATCTATCCAACTTAAAATCATCAAACTATAAAAAAATATAGAGAATTAATCTAAAATATAGTTACCTTTTTTAATCTTTCCTGATTTCTTTGTTGCTGATTTTACCGAGCTCTGTCCAAATTTCTTCTTTTTACGGAAAATATGAACCCAGCTTTCGGGGATGGGCATGTAGATCATAATGTCACAGCAAACATTATGATTAGCCAACATTCTGTCATGGCTCCCTGAAATATATATGAAAAAAATGATTTGCTTGAGCTGTTTGACAACCAGGAATGTATAGGATGTCATAGGGCACCATGGGTCTCTTATACACATCTAGATGTGTATAAGAGACAGTATCTGCAGTAAATTTATTTCTGATATTTTTAGTATGCAACATTATATTCTATAAATAAATATATGTTAAATACAGGTATTGATTGAAAGTGTACCATAATATTGTATTAGCAATATTATCTTTTGTTCATAGG